GGCACCAGGCCTGGGCCACCAGCGCTATAACTAAAGGAATGAATCACATAACACACACACACGTTCACGGCCTAAAATTAGAGTGCACGGCAAAGAGCGCATTCAGAATCCTCCACGTCGGTCCGGTCTTCTCACATTTCGTGCGTAAAATCAATCGCCCTAATTTGAAAAACAATGATTTTTGTCAGCTTGAACTTCTGTGCAACCACAGCACACTCCCTTTGTGACATGATCCACATGCTCTCCATAAGCTGTGAAGTGTATTCACCCAGTTTTAAACGCATCTGCCCGGAAAAAACTCCTGCTTCATTCAATATTCCAGATACCATCTTTCAGCTACAAAGCTTTGAAACCTCCCCTCCCTTTTATGTTCCCTTTCCCTCTCTGTTTCCCTCTCCCTGCTTTCTCCTCTGTCTACACATCTGCGGTTATTTATCTGTTATTCTTTGGGAGCAATGTGGTCAACATGTGTCTGGCTTCCCTCCACACAGCACTCATCTGTAGTCAACTTAGGAATCACTGGACGACCATAGTAGATCTACCAAACTCTAAGCAGATACTCTCCATGGACATGGAGACTGATTCTTATATGTTTTTCTAAAGCATGTAGACATGACAGCAAATCTTTCTGTAATGGGCCCACTTTTAAACCAATATTCTTTTGTTTCTTGGGTGAATGTGGGCAGTAAATGAAGGTTAGCCAACATGACCTACAGGAATTAGGGGATCTGAAAGGAGTATTTGGCTTGCCTAAGCCTATGGATTTGCATTAACCTGACCTTTAAACTTTTAATCTCAATGTTATTTAATCCTCTGGAAAGAGTATAGCCTCAGACAATGTTATGGTACGAGTAGGTCAACCTAGGCCACAGCAGAGATGGCTGACATTGATGGCGGCTGTCAGCTAAGGCATGCAATGGCTTAAGAGGTTAAATTCATGTGTTTAAGCAGGTGTATTTGTCTAATTGGTTAATCAGAAAACTATCTCATTGTATGCACTTAGTGTGGTTGAGTAGAGCCTCTCCACAGTCTGATGTCTTTTGCTGACATCCAACTTCAGGAGGCCGTGGCTCAGGAGTTTGAGCAGGTTGTCCACTAGTTGAACAGTTGAAGGTTCAACTGCCAGCTCCTCCTGTCTGCAAGGTGAAGAATCCTTGGGCATGATATACGAGATGCCCCCAGATGCATTTGATCGAGTGTAAATGGGTGAACCTTTCTAGTAAGAAAAAGAAAAGTGCTATATAAGTACCACACTATTTACCCACTTTCTGGAACATCAGTTTAAAGGATTTTCTAGCCAAAAACCACCATCAAGCTCTTTCTCTCTCTGTCTTGTAAAGTCTTTCAACTTTTGCCCAAACCACAATTGATAAATCAGATTCGTGAATTATGCCTCACCCTCGTGAATCACAGCTACGACGGCTACAACATGTTTGTAAATTGTGACCCATGCGTGGCTCGATGAAGCTGTGGCTGATTGTTTGGAAGTCTTAGAGAAAATGTTAGTATGACTTTTGACTTGTAGACGTGAAGTCAACTCTTGAGGCAGACCACTGTTACACTGAGAACAAGCAAACACAATCAACAGAGTAGGCTGATGAAATGTTGGACTGTGATGGTGCAAGCAGTGAGTCTTTGCTAACATGCTAGCAAGGTGCCTCACTCAGTATGTACTTGGTGACGGAGTTGGGGTTAGTGCCCAGTCGCTGCCCAGTTCATTATCTATATGTGTTTAACTGCTGGGGAATGCAGATATCTTATGAGCCAATCACATTGCAGCAACTCGATGCATGTAGGTCAAGGTGACCTGCTGAAGTTAAAACTTGGCATCAGAATGGGAAAGAAAATGATTCAACTGACTCTGAATGTAGCATGGTTGCTGGTGCCAAGTGGGTTGGTCTGTTTCACAAACTGTTCATATACAGTGATTTCTCCACACAATCATCTCCAGTGGGGATCAGTTTTCTGGGTGAAAATGTCTTGTTGATGCCAGAGGTCACAGGAGGACAGAAGGTAACAAGTCAAATGACCAAATGTTACTACCAAGGCAGTGGTTCCCAAACTTTTTTTTGCTAGGCCCCCCTTTGTATTACAAGAAAAATGTTCGCCCCACCCCCTGTTTCTATGCGTTTGGGCTTTTCGTCCACACGTAAACGGTGTTTCAAATCACCGAAAACTGAGATTTTTGAAAACTCCTTTTTTGCGTTTACGTGTGGACGAGGAATACAGAGTTCCTGGTATGCGCCTTTTTTCACGTCACGCTGTGCGCACGTTATTGTTTACATGACATGAATTGCAGAATGGCAGATAGAGACAAAATACTGTTACTGTTAATCTGACTATCTGCAAGTTTTATATACACACGCAGTTACTGTCCCTCCATTTACAAAGGCAGAGGCGTCACGGTATAATTATTTTATGTGTAGTTGGTTTTTTTCCCCTTTTTACCTTTGTTTTCATTCCTTTTTTTTAAAACTTGCTTTTTTTTGCAAATTGGTTTTAAAACCTTAACCGGTTTTGGGTTGTTTTTTTTCTTGTTTTGACCGGGGGAACAAATCGTGTCAGGATCAGCCTGATATTATTCGTATCCCGCTGTAACTTTACTGTGTAAAGAGCAAATATCTCCAAAATGTCAGGAGCAGTTAGTCATCACAAGAAGTGTTTGTGAACTAAAAATCAAGAATGTGGGATCCTATTAGTCCGTGATTTGGAAAGCCCAACGGTTCCCAACGCAGGGAAAACCAATTCTGCGGGGCAGACCTACCTCGGGACTCGTGCAGGTGAAGCCAAAGGGAAGATTTGCTTCACCATATTTTCTAGTCTTTGGCTTGGAAGGAAGTTGGTTTGGGAACATATTTGGCGATGCTTCATCTGCTTTGCGTTTGTGTGGGCGCCCCGTCAAAAACTTGTCCATTATGCTAGCAGTGTCCAAGCGCTCTTTTTTTTCTTTTCATACCATGCCCCCCCAGCTTGGGAACTTCTGCTACCAAGGTATGCAGAAGAGCATGTCTGAACACACAATGTGTCGAACCTCGGAGCAGATTGGACCACACCAAGGGCCTTCCCTAAACTAAGAACGAGAAACTGAGCTCACATAGGCTCAACAAAATTGGGCAATAAATGACTGGAAGAATAGTGTGATGAGTCTTGATTTTCTGCTGAGATATTCAGATGGTAGCATCAGAATTTAAGCATGGATCGATCCTGCCTCTCCAGTGGTGGTGTAATGTGTGTGTGTGTGTGGGGGGGATTCTTGGCTGTAGATTTCAAATCTGCAGCACCTCTGCGATGCTGTTACGGCACTATGGACCAAAATCTTTGAGGAATGTGTCCAGGACGTTGTTGCATCTTTGTCGCAAAGAATGAAGGTAGATCTGAAGGGAAAAGGGGGTCCACTACCAGCAAGGTGTACCTAATAAAGTGGTTGGGTGAGTGCATCCTTCACATGTTTTGGACTAAGCCTGTAACCTACATAGTTGTTGTTGTTTTTTTTAAATTTTAGATATAAAACTGTATCCACTCCAGGCATTAGTAACATATTGTTGAACTCTTACATACTGTTTTCCTCACATTCAGTTTGTTGGGTTAAGGTCCCCCTCGTGGGCCTTGGCGCTCCTAGAAGTGTCAGTACGGATCTGGATTAGGAATTTTTTAAAGGATTGTTTACCATTGCTAGATAGGAAAAAACTGCACATTCAGAATCATTTCTTTCCAAATGCATATTGAATAGAAATGACTAAAAACGACAGACATCCTCTTTATATTGCTATGTCACAAGCTGATCCAGATCCACATGACTGTCTGGACACAGGGATTCAATTCATGCATGTTGTTGAGGGAAATTTCAGCCTTGGCGGAGGCGTGCAGTCTCAGGCTGCTCATGTTTTTAAAGCATTCAGCTTGGCTCTACTACACAGTACCTAAAGAGTGGAAAAAGAAACACCACAAGAGTCAGATGATGAATGCAAGGTCTTTATATATATATTTCTTCAGTATAATTGCAACATATTTATAGAGTACTGCAGTAGAACAGAATAAAACACAGACACCTGTTGTTGTTTTATGTAGTGATATGAGGCAGGAGGTTTCCCTTTAGTTAATGGGTGCCTTCATTATTCAGTCTTACTAGTGCACCATGATGAGAGTAGAGTCATTTCAAAGCTTCAGCAAACTTAAAAAACAAG